CCAGTCTCTGTAGTGGGTTCTGGAGTTATGGCAAGCCCCTGATCTGGAGGCTGAGTTGAGGTCTCCTCCGTGGTTGGAGACAGTTTTACCTCTGTAGTAGGTTCTGTCGTGATGGTAAACTCCAGGTCCAGAGACTGAACTACGACTGAAGTCAGGTTTGAATGCTGAGTCTGACCCTTGTCTGAAGGTGGAAGTGTCACCTCAGGGTGTTTTGGAGGAGCAGCTGTAGTCATTAGGGCTGTGGAAGGTTCAGCCTCTGTAGTGGATTCAGGAGTGATGGTAAGCCCCAGATCCGAAGGTTGAACTGTGAGTTGAGTCAGGTTTGCATGCTGAGTCTGACCCTTGTCTGCAGGTGGAAGTGTCACCTCAGGGTGTTTTGGAGGAGGAGCTGTAGTCGTCAGGGCTGTGGAAGGTTCAACCTCTGTAGTGGATTCAGGAGTGATGGTAAGCCCCAGATCCGAAGGTTGAACTGTGGTTTGAGTCAGGTTTGAATGCTGAGTCTGAACACGGTCTGGATGTGGAAGGGTCACCTTAGGGTGCTTTGAAGGAACTATCGTCTTCTTCACGGATGTAGAATGTTCAACCTCTATACTGGGTTCTGGAGTTAGGGTAAGTCCCAGGTCCAATGGTTGAACTGTAACGCTGGATGACATTGAATGCTGAGCTTGATCCTGACCTGGTGTTGGAACTGTTACCTCTTGATATACTGGAAACTGGGGTACAACTTTCTTAGGACGCTGAGTTGTGGTCTCCTGCATGGTTGGAAAAAGTTCAACCTCTGTCGTGGATTCTGGAGTGATGGTAAGCCCCAGGTCCAAAGGTTGAACTGTGACACTAGGCGATGTTGAATGCTGACTTTGATCCTGACCTGGTGTTGGAAATGTCACCTCAGAATGAGCTGGAGGTTGAGCTGCAACCTCCTTAGATAGCTCTGGAACCTCAGCTGGGACCATCTGCTGGCTTGAAGGTTCTACCTCCTTAGGGGGCTCTAGAGCCTGAACTGTGGCTTCCTGCTGGGTTGGAGAAGGTTCTGTCTCCAGAGGGGGCTCTGGAATCTGAGCTGGAACATCCTGCTGAGTTAGAAATGGTTTCAGCTCCTGAGGGAACTCTGGAGGCAAAGATGGGGCCATCTGCTGGATCAGAGAAGGTTCTATCACCATAGGGGGCTCTGAAGAATGAGCAGGGACTGCTTGCTGGACCGGAGAGGATCCTACCTCTTTAGGTGGCTCTAAAAGCTCAGTTGGGGCCTGCTGTAGGACAGGAGATGGTTCAACCTTCCCAGGTGGCTCTGATGGCTGAGCTGGTATCTCCTGCTGTGG